CAATTCTCAAGTCAAATAACATAAAAGATTCGATTGTTTCATTGAAGCTAGTTCTATGCCCGATATTAAAGAATGTTTACTACATCCTTCTCTTCAATTTGATTCAAATTAGTGTCAAAATAACTCACAATATCATAACAACTTGGGTGTTTTACCTCCAGGAATTATTCCAGTATAAAGACAAAGGTTATGTGTAACACAAACAATCAAATTACTTAAAGTATGCCTAAAATTAACACACGGTTTTCAAATTTTGTTACATAAAAAATGAGTTAATGAGAACCAGAACCAGTGTTAGAAAGTCAAGGTTGAGGATCTTAAAATTCCTGTGTCATGCAAGCGTTTGACGTATTTCAAGTAGTTCCAGTCCGTATATGGTACATATTTTTGACATACGTTTAGCGAGTCACCTGTTGGTTCGGTTTAACATGTTTTATACCACACCAGTAATGTTAGCTTTTTATGCATTCTACATGTGTAATAATGACTGTTTGAGTTAGATCGCTTATAGGGGGGTTATGTATCTAGACTTAACTTCACGAAGGGACTTACCTTGAGATGTGAAAATTTTTCAGTAAAATCAATATACCGCGTCAATCCATTCGACTGCGCCCCCTTTTTAATATGTGGATTCATTATCGTCGAATGTTATTTAATTGGCCAAATACATCCGACTTTGGACTAGTTTTTCTCCACTTTGATAAATGGAACTGAATCCGTGTAGAATATATGACACTTTGGGTAGGGTCGTAACTCGAGGTTTATTTCACGTGTGATATTTTACTTTCTACTTCAAGACCACTTCATTCAGGTGTAAATTGTACTATTTCTTGGAATATTATCAAATTGTTTTTCTGATTGTCTTATTTCTATTCTGATAGTAAGATATGGGGTACACCGAGGGGTGGTGTTTTATCCTTCTCTTATTAATATAAACATAAACAAATTCTTACATATGAAAGTAAAAGTTCTGGATTGCGGCCTAAGGGGCAAAATAAGAAGTGATAGCAATAACATTTCTATGTAATAGACAACTCTTTTCTTTCATTCTCATGCCAGTTATGTCCTACTGATAAGTAACGTTACGTTGGCAATAGTTTACTATTCATAACATATAATATATGCAGAGGCGGTTTAACCTATAGGCAAACTAGGCAGCTTTCTGCCCATGGAAAATTCGGCCCATGGCAAATATTGTAAGTGTAAAAATTATGAAACAGTTCTACTAGGAGCGTGATGTGTGAGAATGGACTAAATTGTTCTAGCCTAATGGTGATGAATGCCGATAACTAGCATACGATTGATGAGCTGACTGATCTGTTCCTGAAAAGATCGCAAACTTCCTGCCATAAAATTGTAATCACACCATGCTCCCTCCCTAAAATGAGAAATTATGCCCTCTACCGTTCGTTTGCCTACGACCCAACAAGTCCAAAATACGCCACTTACATGTAAAGCCTTATACCTGCCTGAACCCAATGATATATTTCATCAATACACTTTTTTTTAATCCATTTAATTATGAATAAGCTGACCACCCCTTTCCATTTTGTACACCCACGCATGCTGCACCACCCGTTAATTGTATTTAAATACCCTTAAATGGTCATCAGGCTAATGTATACGTTGACGAGGTTGGTGGTTTACGTCAACTTTCTCTGTATTCGTTTATCATTTTTCAAATTCCAGGTCTGCACATTTTAATCACACATTATTTTCTAGTGGCCTTGAAAACATTATGGTTGCTTTTAACTACAGAAAACGGTTACTTCCAACTATTGAAGTAATTTCCTTACGGGTTGTGTTGTTTGTTTTTGTAAATAAAAACTACGTATTTGTTTGTGTAAAAAGGGAATTGTAAGCTTTTGAATAATGCGTTTAAAAAGAGAAAATATTTCACCGATATTAGCCGATTATATTTGTCACCATATTCATACTGGATAAATATTTTATGACGCCAAGTGGTCTGAAAACAGAATAATGTCGGGTAATAATAAATCCTTCAAATTTCCTTCTTAAAATCGGAGGATTTCGATTTAAATACGTTTACAAAGCGTGTACGAGTAATCATTCGGATGGGACGAAAACTAAAGGCCCCATTACGTGCTTTTTTTTTTACCCTGGAGGATACTCCAATAGCGAAAAAAAAAACCTGAAATTTTTTTTAAGCATTTTTAAGAGTATGTGCGCAAACGCAGGGCAGAGAATATACAGGCAACTCTCAATAATTTCAACAACAAAAATTCACTTATTTTTTATGTCTCGGGTAGGCTATGTTTTCCATTTCTTTTTTAGGGGGGAATTCGTATTTGTAAGATGTTGCGCCAAAATGCAGGAATTTGGGGACATATTTACTATGTGTGTTTATAGTTTCAGCCTTTCTGGAGAATTGTTCTACATCTGGAATTCCAAGGTCTTTCATGACGTTACTAACATTCTCTGAAATTCTTTGAAAATCTTGTATTAGAATTGTTTTTACCATATATGGAGTGAAATAGTTCTGTATGATTATATATGGACAGGTTCTTATAAAGATAGATTCCAGATCCCATTCCTGTAAAGAGTGTACTTGAGTTAGCTGGTGATGAGAACATAGTCTCATAAATGCACTGGCGCAAATGTTTAACTTGTATAAATGCATAGAAGACTAATGCAGCAGCTGAGAAGATAGGGCAAAACAAATTAAGGTTCTTGAAATAACCCAAGCCATGAAATCACGCAGTTTGCCTCAATGATTCGGAACTCCAGCGCAGACATGATCGCTGTTTCAGTTTGCAAAAAAAAAAATAAAATAAAATAAAAAAGTATGAAATAGAAATGCAGTGGGTGTTCGTAAACTTGGTCCTATGAAGTATCAAAATTAATGCAATACAGCGGCGTTAAAACTCCTACTCATCTAGCTAAAGTGCATTGACCTTGTTGTTCTATTGTTACGTTTCCATTCCAGAAAAAAAGTAGTTTATTCCCAGGAATGGTTCAAAAGCTCAAAGTCTGAGACAAAACAAACATAGGAACAAGACTAGAGTAGAACAGGAATATTATTCTTTCACTAACATCCGATCATAACAACAACTTCTAGACAATATTAAAAGCTTCGTAGACTTTTAAATCTCTTTTGTGTTTTTCTTTGAATAAAAACACTTATATTGACTACGTGGAAGATTGCGGAAAATGAAGGCTGTGCGGCTATGTAACATATAACTTTGTAGAAAAGATATTGCAAATTGCTGATGTATTTGTAATTTTATAAAAGGTTGTACGTGTGGGAAATGTCTCAAACTTTTCTAGCAAAAACTATCTACTTGATTGGTTGTTCTTCGAACACAGCAGGCTATATTTGCATGAATCATGGTTGTATTTTCCGAAAAGAAGGTACCTTTTGTGGAAAAATGGTAATATTTTTTGCAAAGATGAAGTTCGTAATAGCTTGACATTGTGAAAAAGGGTTTGTAGAGAAAAGGGTTACATTCACTGTGTATATGGTATGAGAAAAAGAATGGGTAGCATAGCAAAGTTGTAATATAGAACCCTGATTGTATGTTTAGTAATTAGGTCATTTATATTAAAGAGAGTTTAATTTGTTTGAAACATTGTTGTAAATGTGATGGTAATAGTAATTAAATATCTCTACAATCATAATACTTTTATGATGTTAACATTGTGGTGTGTTTAAGTTGTTTGTAAATATACTTAATTGATGGATGATAACATTTTCTAGTTCCATACAATTTACCAGTTCACGATGCATCATTTTCTATTAGATGTTCAACATGATCGATAACATTAACTCAATTTGATTATTGACAATGTTGACCAACGCATTATTTAAATTTATATCAGTGTTTCAACTCAAGCTTTCTAAAAGATATACCGGTATGCAGTTAGGGAAGAGAGGACATTTGGGAAAACCGATCTTTGTATTATTCGATTTTGCTTAAACTATTGTTGGTGTTGATGATGCGTCGGAAAGTATTGGAATATATATATAAATATCAGTGGTCTCTATAACAAACAAAACTTGGCTATGTCGAGTAAACGATATTAGGATAAAGCTACATTTGGTATATCAACGAATGATTAGTATCATGGAAAACAAGATAGAGCAACATAATATGTTTACTAAGCCGGATATTTTGGATGTTGAAACCATTCTCGAGCCTATAAGCTCTCTCAGCAGATATGTGGCTTTAGTAAAGTTTAAGAATACCACAAAATATCAGTATAAAGTTATAGGAATCGTGTATTTTATTATAGTTCAGATGATCTTCTGGTCCATGATAGTTAAAGATGTTCTGGTTATATTTAGAGCACGAGATTCTGATAGAATTTTACCTGTATTAGCGCTTGTAACTCATGAAGTTGGAATCGTCTACGTTTCACTTACCACTTATTTTACCTTCTCTAAAAATTATGAAGGCTTTGTTCGTTCTTTTAACCACCACCAACGCTTATATGCCCCAATGACACATGGTACAAGACTTGCTTTGATATTAAAACGCCTTAAATGGATTAGCTTTTTTGTATGCCTACTTTCAGCAACGTTTTACATTTCAATTCTATATCTTGGACGAAACGATTTGGAGAAAATAATGTATCCGTTGAATTTCAATGGGATAGAAAACACGGCTATTGCGTTAACGTGCCTTTTCACTCATGGCATGTTTTTATTTGCACACGTCGGTATATTCATTATATTTGCAATAATTGTACTTGCAATGATTTTAAGACTGTTCAATTCTATAAATAAAGATATAAACTTGTTGATAGAAATTCACACGAGGAGAACCGTTAGTGATCAAACTTTCGCGAAATCTATAGAAAAGGTCCGACAAGAGTACATGAGTATTGTGAATATTTTAGAAAATGTCAATTCTTTGCTGGCACACTTGTTATTTAGTGTTATTACATGCCTTGTACCAATTCTATGTTTTGTCCTGTATGGTGTCATCAGAAATATCATTACTTTGTATGAAATACATTTGTTATCAAGTACGGTAATAATGAGTGTAACATGGAATGGTATATTTTTAATTTTCGCATCTATCATCACATTAAAAGTAAGTATTATTGGACATATATATATGTATATAATACCCCCATTCATCAATAATCAGCCGATAAAAGTGTGAAATTTCACATGAACTCTTCCACAATCACATGAAGGATTTGTTGTTTGTGTAACATTTCGAAAATCGAGATCCTCATCTTCACATGTGGCCATACTAGATTTCGGGGAATAGAGGTCTTGATTTTCTCAAATGTGCAGGCCTAGGAAACAAATACTTCATTGAGAAATTGGAATAAACGGTCTGGAACTGCTGGTTGTTTTTCTTCTCTTCTGATCTTCGGTGTTTTGTTTTTAAAAGCATGATTTTGTCTTTGGATATAAAGGTTTGGAATTCTTTCTCACCACCCTTCCATATAACCAAATAATTCAATATGATTTATACATAATTGGCAAAAATCTGTTTACAGACCATTGTTGTCCAAGCAGCTTTCGATGATCTTATTAAGACGGCAAATATTATATAACACGGATAAAAGTTAATTAGTCCATTAGTAATTATCGATAAGTTCCATCATCACACGTTTACTTATTTGTTGCTTAAAGATGTTTTGGAGACATCCCAGAGCTACGACTGTTAACTGGCATTAACTTTTGGTTTCCCGAGTTGAGAACACAATTTGTTTGATAAATACCTAATAAAAAAAAAGAACGTTTTCTTTTTGGATCATAGAATAATAATTGTTTTCTGATTAAATACTAAAAGAAAACTGAATTAAATTTATGTTTGGAAGTTTTATAGGGATGTAGGCCATGACGTTTTTCGAATGTTTCTGTTTATTTCAGGCGCATGAGCCATTGGATACATTACTGAAAGTTGATGTCACATGTATATCAGACCAAGCATATAAATCGGTAGGTAGTTTTCCTGATATTGAATCAGAATCTATTCTGTTTCCATTCGACATTCCTCGGCAGTTTCCATAAAACTTTCATGGTAGACTGTTTCTCGAGTGAAACATGGCCCGACACTGAATTATACAAATTTCGTATCCTACAATCGCAATAATTCTGGAAAAACATGTTATTCTGTAAGGAAGTTTTTTTTTTACATATCTGTATTGAGCACTATTTGAACAGTGAAAATAGTTGTTAATGTCTGTGAATAATTTGTTGTTGTGACTAATTTATCACCATATTATAGATAACAATGTTTGTAAACCGATTAAATGGAAAAACGATTGGATTTCGGATGTATGAAATGTTTACATTGGATGCATCAGCTATATTAATGGTAAGTTGATAATAACACAGAATCAATCTTTCCATATTCAGTACTTAAAATGACTCGAATGTTATACTGATAGGCTACAGTGTTTGAAAGAATTATGAACCTGGCGATAAAAAAACATGTTTAGTTAGTTGCAAATGCTCCAAGCAATAATCTCGAGCGTTCTAGCGAGTTGGTAGGGTTCAACAGTTGTGAAATTTATGGTAATACACATAAGACGACATTTGTTCAATAACCTTTGCATATTTTATCTTATTTCAGCTAATTGGTACATTGGTAACATATGCTGTTGTTATGTTGCAGTTTACAAGTGTTCCTACAACACAACAAAATCTTATGTTAAATCAAACTAATTGTACATGTTGTTAAGTGTATATATTGCCCATTGTGTATGTGAGTCCTTTTTTTAGATCAGTTCTTTCTGATCTATTGATCAAACATAGCAGGTGATTCGATCTATTGATCAAACATAGCCGTTACCTTCGATCTATTTATCACACATAGCTGTAAACTTCGAGCTAATTATCAAATATAACTGTTGATTCGATCTTGTTATCCTACATAGCCATTGGTTCAAACTATTTATCAAACATAGTTGTTGATTCGATCTATTGATCAAACATGGTTGTTGATTCGATCTATTATCTATTACCAAATGTATCAGATGATTCGATTATTTACCAATAATAGCTGTTGATTCGATCTATAGGTCAAACATAGCTGTTTATTTGGTATATTTGTCAAACATAGCTGTTGATTCTATTGACCAAGTATAACTGTTAACAGCTGGGAATTGCAAAGGAGTGTAAACTAAATGATGAGAAATTTCTCTTCAAGAGAAATTTACAAAATTGTGAAACAGGGGAATCAAATTGTACATCTTATTCTCAGTCAGCTGGTGTCGTATGGTTTGAACGTTATGACACGTAGAAATTGGATGCCACTTTTAACAACAAAAACATAACTTTCTTTCATAATTTAACTACAATGGGACACGATCAATTAACAAAAAATCACAAGAATTTCACCTTCTTTATGATGTAAACTTGACCGAGTTGTGCTCTCTTGTTCTACAAAGAGGTACATAATAAGCATACTTTGTCAGTAATGACAACATAAGTTGTGTTTTTGTTGTAGAAATGTTGACATTATATAGAAATATTCAGTGGACAATAATACTGATATATAATAGCCGTGTTTTTAAGTTATTCACCAGAAAAGTAATCATTTATTTGTTTAGAAATACCAGTCTGAAAAATAGAGACCACCTCTTCAATCGGCCGAATTTATCATTGCTGATTTCATAGGCTAATCTTTGAACAGCCACTTTGGTTAATTTCGGATGCTGCAATCCAGCATAAAAAAGAGGGACAGGTGCGGCAATAGTTACAAATAATCAGTTGTCAAACATGACACGTCCACTTATCAAATATTTTCAGTAAACCAAGGGCTGTTATTCAGTAAATGTATGTAGAATCGTACTCAAAGGTTAACTTGCCTGAGATCTTGCAAATCCTACACAACAAATGTTATAAAATTCGGACACAAACTGGTGCCTCTATCGCGGTCAGAAATCAATTCATTGATTTAACTGGGTTGATGGACAAATACGAACTCATTTCAATGTCACTGATAGAAAGATGATATTTGTTATTCGGAAGTATGAAGAATAACTTTGATTCCCTCCAATACATCTCTACATGGCTCACAAAATACTTTGGTAATTTAGAAAGATGCAGGATACTAGATCTGCTCTTTATGAACTTGAAAGTATATTTTTTAGTGTATGAATTATCGGATAGCATGCACTTTGATGTAGGAACGAATTCTGCTAAAGAAAATAGAAAAAAAAAATTCATACAGATTGCATTTATTTATTTTATGGAATGGATGTACATGATAAAGTTTCAGATTTTAATAAAGTAGAAAATCAGCTGTAAAATAAATAAACCAAACAATAACAAACTTCTCTAACTTTTAACAAAATATACACAATTTTTCAAACAGTTATATATAATATATAGATAGTGGTTTATGTATGTATAAAAATAGGACTTCATACACATTGAACATGATGAATCTAAGCTAAATAACCTGAAGGAATATAATCCATCCAATAAACTGGTGCGGTTTTATCTTACCACATAAAAACTATGATATTTTAAGACAAGTGATTTACATTTAAAAATATAATTTGAATATTTGTGAAATGATAGAAAAAATTGCCACAATGATCTGAGAGTAGAGTAGGTTATCTCTTCATGTATTACTATTATATTATTCTATTTCAAACATTACAAAATTCATGTTAAATAATATAATTACACTCCAAATGTAAACATGAAAATCAGTTCTGCTTGTCCAAACTCAGTAGGGATGCAGGCAGAAAATAGCTCTGTTGATTGCATAGTGTAAAACTCTGAGTAACAACGTGATTCAAGTTCTGTTTTAATATTTCTAATTACACTAGATATATAACTATATATGGGAAAACTGACTAGAAATTAATTATAAACATTGTCTTTTACTATTACTTGACTTATAGAAACAGTTCAAATATCATTATTTATATAACAGTGTTTTAAAATAATTTGACCAGAAATTCAACAGAATCGGAGCCTGGAAGGAGATAAAACAAAAATTAATTTCCTTTATAGAAACCCTTGTAATATACATTGATTACTCTTCAAAAAGATAGCTTGCCAGGCAAGGTAACATACGCCCACTGGCAGCTGTCAGAAATGATAGTGACTAAAATATGAATTTTCTCATATTAAATAATTTTTAATAGTTTGATATGATATGATGTATATATTTACTGCCAGTTATTTATACTGAGAAATTCCACAAAATTTTTAAAAATTACTATCAATAACCCAAATACATCAAATTATCTCATCAATATACATGATCACACGATGTTTCATTAAAATCAATTGAAAACTGTAGTCTCTAATGTGTTCACAAACAAATTTTGATGCGTTTTTCCAAAGTCAAGAGCAATAACTCAAAGACTGTTCATCGAAATATCATCAAATTCGAACTTGTCTAAGATCTCATCAATATAAATGATCACACCAAATTTCATTAAAATCAGTTCAAAACTGTAGTCTCTATTGTGTTCAGAAACAAAATTTGAAGCATTTTTCCTATGTCAAGGTCAATAACTCAAAAACCTTTCATCGAAAGATCATCAAATTCGAACTTGACCAAGATCTCATCAATATAAATGATCACACCAAATTTCATTAAATCAGTTAAAAACTGTAGTCTCTATTGTGTTCACAAGAAATGTTGACGGACCGACGGACAGGGGCGACGGCAATATACGTCCACATTTCCAATAATGATATATAATAATTTAAAAGAAACATAAATATACAAATAACAAAATATAAATCTGAACCAATGTCTAAATAAATAAGATGTAGTCATAGTAACACAGAAAAATTCTAATTATTACTGATTTTACGATCAAAGAGCTGTAGTCAGCGCTTATGAAAAAGCTATCTTTCAAGCAAAATTAAGGATAAGCACAATGATTACGATAAACAAGGTTTAATCTAATACAACACAACTTTATCAGAAAAAAATAGGACTGTAACACGTAATAATAACACACTAATATATAAGGCAAAGGGTGGTTTTTAACACATATTGCTTCATATTTTAACTTGTGTTGGTATTATACAAAGATAAGATACATCACTACTGATATCTAGTAACACTTCCAAACCATATTAACAATGTTTTAAAATATACAAAATGAGCAAAAACAGTTTATTTCCATTTGCTAATATTTCAGATAACAACCTGATTTAAACTACTACTATATCATACATGTAACATATTTAATCAAATTTTTTTTAACAAAACTTCATACTGTGTATACCACAAATAGGAAATTCACATATTTTCAAAGCACATAATGATTTTTCTTTTGATACATTCAATGTGTAAAGTTAGACATTTAACAGACTATGAACAATAAAATAACATTTATAAATTTGATATAAATTGTCATTGTCAGAGAGATAATTATCCAACAAATAGTTTATACAACTCACTAATTAAAATACTAATATAGTGCTAAATTTTTTCAGAATGATTGTAAGTTTTCAGGAATTTTGATTTCAAATGCTCAATTCAACTATTAATCTAATAAAGCCATATATGACCATAACCTAACATAACAGATATTTTTTGATTATTTATCTAAATAAGCAGACGATGTAGAAAGAACTCAATTTGATGAAAAATAAACCTCTATTTTCTAATGAATACTTCACTCACATCTTAAGAGAATTCTATACAACTGTATACACAAATTTTCTTAATCAAATACCTTCTGGATAGTCATTACTGGCTATTGATGTATAGTAAGCCCACGGCCCACCTTAAGGTTCTTTAAGGCTGGATACCATCAATAGTATGGTCAAACTTGATTTAAAGAGAGTACTTGACTGATCTGGAATGACTGAAGTAACAATTGAGTTTAGAGAAAACCAAACCAGGTAGTATTTTCAAACCTGCCCATAAGACATTTCATGTAAATTAGGGTATAGTTACAAGAGCTATAAATTTTAGTTTTGTGGTTTTACTTTTGATTTTTTAGTTTGTCCCCAAACTTTATTATAATTATCTTCTAATGATTTGTGTTTGGCTTCTTCTTTAACAGCATCATCACTTCCATTCTAAAATATAAAACAAAAGGTCCATTCTAACAATTGAAACTGTACAGTTACTAGACTAATTTAACAGTGGAAATAATCTAATAAAGTATACATGAAGGTTTTCATCAACCAAAAATATTTATTATATTTGATTATCTTTGGCTCAGATAGCTGATATCCCTTAATAAGTACACGTATAGTCATTCAAAAATAAAACTATATTTTGGGTTTTTAATGTACCAGATAGACTTTGGACTGTACTGAACAGTTCTAAGAAAGACAGTTATATATTCCAGACGCTTTCAAATACAGTAAATATGAGATGGAGGTGCAATGTTCAACTTATGCTACGTTCGATACCACTCGTGAAAATAGTGTTTATGACTTACTCGTGAATCGTGCGCAAAACTCGAGACTATTCGGACGATATTCACGACTTTGTAACTAAAGATGGACGACGAAATAATGTTAGCCATTTTTCAATGAGTCCAAGGTGAAGGCTGTAGAAATTGTGAAGATGGGTGTCGTAAATTTTTCTCGAAATTCATGACTTTCTAAAGTAGTAAATACGAGCAAAACCTACTATCGAACGGAAATCCACAACATTAACCCTGTGAACATGGTAATCACGAGAGGCATCGAACGCAGCATTAATGTCACTATTGGGTATTCAAACTGGTAAGATTCCAATTGATA